GGAATTCAGAGCAGTGGGAATGGATGTTAGGGCAGTTGTATGCTCCTCCTGTAGAATGTGGGAGGTAAGGGTCACCACTAGTGTCCCCACTGACTTCATCTGCGGGAAGTGCACCCAACTCCAGCTCCTCGGCAACCGTGTTAGGGAACTGGAGCTGGAGCTGGATGAACTTCGGATCATTCGGGAGGCTGAGGGGGTAATTGAGAGGAGTTACGGGGAGGTAGTCACACCTCACGTACAGGAAAAAAGTAGATGGGTTACAGTCAGGGGACAGAAAGGGAACAGGCAGACAGTGCAGGGAACCCCTGTGGCCATTCCCCTCAAAAACAAGTATACCGTTTTAGATACTTTTGGGGGGGGACGACTTACCAGGGGTAAGCCATGGGGTACAGGTCTCTGGCACAGAGTCTGTCCCTGTTGCTCAGAAGGGAAGGGAGGAGAGGAGGAGAGCATTAGTCATTGGGGACTCCATAGTTAGGGGGACAGATAGGAGATTCTGTGAGAACGAGAGAGACTCGCGGTTGGTGTGTTGCCTCCCAGGTGCCAGGGTCCGTGATGTCTCGGATCGTGTTTTCGGGATCCTTAAGGGGGAGGGGGAGCAGCCCCAAGTCGTGGTCCACATAGGCACCAACGACATAGGTGGGAAAAGGGATGGGGACGTAAGGAAGAAATTCAAGGAGCTAGAAGCTTAGAGCTAGAACAAACAGAGTTGTTATCTCTGGTTTGTTACCCGTGCCACGTGCTAGCGAGGCGAGGAATAGGGAGAGAGAGCAGTTGAACACGTGGCTACAGGGATGGTGCAGGAGAGAGGGATTCAGATACCTGGATAATTGGGGCTCATTCTGGGGTAGGTGGGACCTCTACAAACGGGATGGTCTACACCTGAACCAGAGGGGTACCAATATCCTGGGGGGAAATTTGCTAATGCTCTTCGGGAGGGTTTAAACTAATTCAACAGGGGGGTGGGAACCTGAAATATAGCTCCAGTGTACAGGAGGTTGAGAGTAGTGAGGTCATAAATAAGGTTTCAACCCTATCGCAGGAGTGTACCAACAGACAGGAAGGTGGTTTGAAGTGTGTCTACTTCAATGCCAGGAGCATCCGGAATAAGGTGGGTGAACTTGCAGCATGGGTTGGTACCTGGGACTTCGATGTTGTGGCCATTTCGGAGACATGGATAGAGCAGGGACAGGAATGGTTGTTGCAGGTTCCGGGGTTTAGATGTTTCAGTAAGATCAGGGAAGGTGGTAAAAGAGGGGGAGGTGTGGCATTGTTAGTCAAGGACAGTATTACGGTGGCAGAAAGGACGTTTGATGACAACTCGTCTACTGAGGTAGTATGGGCTGAGGTTAGAACCAGGAAAGGAGAGGTCACCCTGTTGGGAGTTTTCTATAGGCCTCCGAAAAGTTCCAGAGATGTAGAGGAAAAGATTGCAAAGATGATTCTGGATAGGAGCGAAAGTAACAGGGTAGTTGTTATGGGGGACTTTAACTTTCCAAATATTGACTGGAAACGCTATAGTTCGAGTACTTCAGATGGGTCAGTTTTTGTCCAATGTGTGCAGGAGGGTTTCCTGACACAGTATGTAGATAGGCCAACAAGAGGCGAGGCCACATTGGATTTGGTACTGGGTAATGAACCAGGCCAGGTGTTAGATTTGGAGGTAGGAGAGCACTTTGGTGATAGTGACCACAATTCGGTTACGTTTACTTTAGCGATGGAAAGGGATCGGTATATAAAGGAGGGCAAGAGTTATAGCTGGGGGAAAGGCGATTATGAGGCGATGAGGCAAGATTTAGGTTGCATAGGATGGAGAAGGAAACTGCAGGGGCTGGGCACAATTGAAATGTGGAGCTTGTTCAAGGAACAGCTACTGCGTGTCCTTGAGAAGTATGTACCTGTCAGGCAGGGAGGAAGTGGTCGAGCGAGGGAACCGTGGTTTACTAAAGAAGTTGAATCTCTTGTCAAGAGGAAGAGATGAGGCGTGAGGGCGCTTGAGAGTTACAAGTTAGCCAGGAAGGACCTAAAGAGAGAGCTAAGAAGAGCCAGGAGGGGACATGAGAAGTCTTTAGCAGGTAGGATCAAGGAAAACCCTAAAGCTTTCTATAGGTATGTCAGGAATAAGAAAATGACTAGAGTAAGATTGGGGCCGGTCAAGGACAGTAGTGGGAAGTTGTGCGTGGAGTCCGAAGAGATAGGAGAGGTGCTAAATGAATATTTTTCGTCAGTATTCACGCAGGAAAAAGACAACATAGTCGAGGAGAATACTGAGATACAGTCTATTAGACTAGACGGGATTGAGGTTCATAAGGAGGAGGTGTTAGCAATTCTGGAAGGTGTGAAAATAGATAAGTCCCCTGGGCCGGATGGGATTTATCCTAGGATTCTCTGGGAAGCTAGAGAGGAGATTGCAGAGCCTTTGGCTTTGATCTTTATGTCGTCATTGTCTTCAGGAATAGTGCCAGAAGACTGGAGACTAGCAAATGTTGTCCCCTTGTTCAAGAAGGGGAGTAGAGACAACCCTGGTAATTATAGACCAGTGAGCTTTACTTCGGTTGTGGGTAAAGTGTTGGAAAGGATTATAAGAGATAGGATTTATAATCATCTAGAAAGGAATAATGTGATTAGGGATAGTCAACACGGTTTTGTGAAGGGTAGGTCGTGCCTCACAAACCTTATTGAGTTCTTTGAGAAGGTGACCAAACAGGTAGATGAGGGTAAAGCGGTTGATGTGGTGTATTTGGATTTCAGTAAAGCGTTTGATAAGGTTCCCCATGGTAGGCTATTGCAGAAAATACGGAGGCATGGGATTGAGGGTGATTTAGCGGTTTGGATCAGAAATTGGCTAGCTGTAAGAAGACAGAGGGTGGTGGTTGATGGGAAATGTTCATCCTGTAGTTCAGTTACTAGTGGTGTACCTCAAGGATCTGTTTTGGGGCCACTGCTGTTTGTCATTTTTATAAATGACCTGGATGAGGGCGTAGAAGGATGGGTTAGTAAATTTGCGGATGACACCAAAGTCGGTGGAGTTGTGGATAGTGCGGAAGGATGTTGCAGGTTACAGAGGGACATAGATAAGCTGCAGAGCTGGGCTGAGAGGTGGCAAATGGAGTTTAATGCGGAAAAGTGTGAGGTGATTCACTTTGGAAGGAGTAACAGGAATACAGAGTACTGGGCTAATGGTAAGATTCTTGGTAGTGTGGATGAGCAGAAAGATCTCGGTGTCCATGTGCATAGATCACTGAAAGTTGCCACCCAGGTTGATAGTGTTGTTAAGAAGGCGTACAGTATGTTAGGTTTTATTGGTAGAGGGATTGAGTTTCGGAGCCATGAGGTCATGTTGCAGCTGTACAAAACTCTAGTGCGGCCGCACTTGGAGTATTGCGTACAGTTCTGGTCACCGCATTATAGGAAGGATGTGGAAGCATTGGAAAGGGTGCAGAGGAGATTTACCAGGATGTTGCCTGGTATGGAGGGAAGGTCTTATGAGGAAAGGCTGAGGGTTTTGAGGCTGTTTTCGTTAGAGAGAAGAAGGTTAAGAGGTGACTTGATAGAGACATACAAGATGATCAGAGGATTAGATAGGGTGGACAGTGGGAGCCTTTTTCCTCAGATGGTGATGGCTAGCACGAGGGGACATAGGTTTAAATTGAGGGGTGATAGATATAGGACAGATGTCAGAGGTAGGTTCTTTACTCAGAGAGTAGTAAGGGCGTGGAATGCCTTGCCTGCAAAAATAGTAGACTCGCCCACTTTAAGGGCATTTAAATGGTCATTGGATAAACATATGGATGATAATGGAATAGTTTAGGTTAGATGGGCTTCAGATTGGTTTCACAGGTCGGCGCAACATCGAGGGCCGAAGGGCCTGTACTGTGCTGTAATGTTCTATGTTCTATGTTCTATGTCCTAGAATCAAACCAGTAAATGTCAGCTACAGCATCAATAGAACAGTGAACTTTGGTGCCTCTAGATCTTTTCAAACTATCACAGGGAAAGTCAACAACATTAGTGAATTTATAGGACAGAATGCAGCAAATATATTATTCTGATGGGCAGACACTTTCAGGACTTGAGGAAGTTCTGAGGAAGGGTTACCGGATCCGAAATGTTAACTCTGTTTTTTCCTTCACAGATGCTGCCAGACCTGCTGAGCTTTTCCAGCATCTTCTGTTTTTTTTTACCTTCAGGACTTTGCCATAGAAAAATTACAGCACAGTACGACTGCACATTTTCTGCAACACAGAGATCCCTAAAGCGCAAAAAATTACTCATTACACCTTGTAGCCTTCTGGATCTCTAGTAATGGTTTTTAAGAACTGCAAACACTTCCACTGTGTCAAAGTGCAGGTGATCAGCAAACAGCAAAACAAGACCGTGTAGGTCAGTACTTGCTTCCCTAGCAAATATCACGATTCCTTTATTTCAATCTTTGGATAGAATAGGAAAGTTGAGTGGAATTGGAAACCTTTACATACCCATGGTGGAAATTAATGGCAAATAATATCTTAAAGCTAGATACAACTTCCAGGAGGGCAATACATCAATTTTCTCATCTAAGATCTCCAAAGTACCTTGGGAGGTATAGGCAGTGTTTCCACCACTTGATAACACTTGAACACGCAGAATGACAGTCTAACGGGTGTCTGTCTGACACAGATGACCAGATTTGTTTGGGAAGCATCTATTAGCAAATTAAACAAATTACATAACTTCAAATCCTTCATGTTTCAGTCACTATCAGATAATATTGTTTCTGTTTTGTTTCTACTTGTAAATAAATTCTTATGCAACTTAGTGCCAATTATTTTACATTGTTTCTATGGAAGATTAGAATTTTATTTTTCTACACAGCAAGTTATATTGGTCCAGAAAGCACAGAATCTAAATGTTTCTTATTGCATAACATTCACATAAACCAATAAACATGCAATGTCTGACTATAAAAGTTGGAAATGGAATGCAGTCAACACAGAATGCAAAGTCTTTTATATACTTACAGCCAATCATCATCATAGCCACAGCAAAAATCTTCTCACCGTCGGTTGTGGGAGCAATATTACCAAACCCAATACTGGTGAGGCTGGTCATTGTAAAGTAGAGTGAGGCAATGTACACAGAGTCTTTACTTGGTCCACCTTCCCATTTTTCAGTCCCACTTGTATTAAAGTGATATGGCATTCCAATAGTTTCTCCCAATTGGTAGAGCCAGCTATCTGTTCTGATCCTGTTTAATTCTTCATCGATGACTTCGTAATCCCCAATGCTATACCAGATGCAAGCCAGCCAATGTGCTGCAAGCCCAAAAACACACACAAGCAGTACCAATACAGCTGCTCCATATTCAATGTAATGGTCCAACTTCCGAGCTACTCGACCCAAGCGAAGAAGCCTAACAACTTTCAGTGAGCTGAAGAGACTGCTGATGCCCTGCAAAAATGACATAATACATATCAGTAAATATAAGTACTTCCAAAATAAATTTATAAATTATAAAACATTTTAACTAGTTCCAAAGCTATAATTCACAGCTTTTTAGTCCTCCAATATTTAAGAGAGATAAGGTCATTGGGGGGGTGGGGGTGGAGGGGAGAGAAGAGAGAGAAAGAGAGCGCGAGAGAGAGCGAGAGAGATTACGTTTAGGTAGATGGTGACCGCAATCAGCAGCAGGGAAGGTCAGATGCTGAATTCCTGTTCCTCTTGGCCCATAAGAAGCATTACAAAAGGCATTTAACTTTCTTTGTTCCCGATTCCCTTCTACTGCAGTTTCCTGAGCCCTCGTGAAAAAACATGGCAACTGTTTAATTTAAATCTGACTCCCAATTATACTGTGGTAACCTGAAATAAATATGATAATGAATTGGATTGCAGTCCCAAATAGTTCATTTTTAATCACTACACTGACTCCCATCCTCTACTGGTCATTTTGGGGTCTTCATAACAAACCTTGCGTGTTTTGCATGGAAGAAGCATCTATCAGGTACCCATCAACAGCTTAGTAGGACAGCAAATATGTGAAAAATTAGTTGTCTGATTTGATATGTCAATTAGAATCTTGCAACAGGCTAATTTGAATCTTTATTGGAAAATCCAATTATTAAGGGACATAAAACAAAGTATTACAACAATTACGAGAATAAGAGGCAATGTCTGAATATTATTGAGTTATGGCTGTCCTGTCCTTAAGGTAGAACAGCAACCAAGCAGGAGTCAGATTGGTCTTCTGAAAATATTTTCTAGGATTCAAAGTCACCCACAGATTGAGGTGCATCTTATTCAAGCATTGTTGGTACAGTCTTAAATGTGTATTTAAAGAAATTCAAAAACATTATGTAAGATTTTATTTCACAGGTGTGAATTATCATTTCCAATTTTCACACCAGTGATATTTCAATAATAAAGCAAGTGCTATTTATCCAATCACGTCAAAGCAATTAATAAAGGTTATATCGGTGTTTCTTATGCAAATCTGTAAAATACAATGTTGATGTTGTCATTAGCTACACATTGCATATACACAGATGCACAAGTGGTCAAGAAAGTCTTAAAACTGTACAAAGTATCATAAATATGACACACTGGCTATCCTAAAAACAATTTTTATATCGATTGCAATTAAATGATTCAGTCTGACTGCAAATAATCAATATAAGCATCTTACTAATGTCCCAGGCCTAGGGCAAAATTTGCAGATGATACGAAACTTTGAAAGGACAAGTTGGTGAAATGGGCAATGAAGTGCGAGGTGAAATTCAATGCAGACACATTTGAAGTGATTAATTTTGATAGGAATAACATGGAGAGACAATATAAAAGAAAAGGGTACAAATGTAAAGACTGTGTAGGAGACCAGGAACCTGGGTGCATATGTGCATAAGTCATTAAAGGTTGTTGAACAGATTGAGAGAATAATTAACAAAACATACAACATCCTAAGCTTTATTAATAGGTGCGGAGAGTGCAAGTGGAAAGAGATAATGTTAAACTTGTATAAAAGACTGCGTCAGACTCAACTGGTTTATTACACCCAATCTAGGAGCCAAACTTTGAGAAAGGTATATGTATTAGAGACAGTGCAGGAATGATTCCAGTGATGAAGAACTTCAGTTATATAGCTAGAAGTTGGGACAGTTTTCCTTGGAGGAGGAGGTTGTGAGGAGATTTTATAGAGATATTCAAAATCACGAGGGATCTGGACAGAGTAGATGGGGAAAAAATGTTCCTACCTCACAAAGGATCAAGAACACAATGGCACAAATTTAATGTAATTGGCCAAAAGAACAATGGAAACAAAATGGGAAACCTTTTCATGAACAAATGACTAAGATCTGGAATGTGGTGCCTGAAAGTGTGGTGGAGGCAGGTTCAATCAAAGCATTCAACAAGGAATTGTTTTATTATCTGAAATCGTAGCATGTACAGAGTTACGGTAAAACAGTTTTGGAGAGCTGGTGCAGATAATGACCAGAACTGCCACCTCTATACTGTAATAGTTCTGTTAGGTTAGCTAGAAACACCATGGTACATGCTATTCTTTCTCCAAACTTCTCAGCCACACTTAGCTGCACAAAGTTAACACAGCATAAATAAAGGAATCCACTGTATCAATGCCAATACCAAGCAACACAAGGAGAGCACTATGAAAAAGTGCAGCCCTTCATTACTTTCAAGCACTTTACAGAAAACACATTAAACATAACTTATGAAATAGAAAGCCTACTTTAGTTACAGCATGATGACTGCAGTCCTTCAAACCCCAAAACATAGTCAGAAGAGGATCAAGCCATAGAAATAAAGAAGCATGCAAATGGAAAAAGTAGAAAGCAAGAAGAAAATAAAGTGTAAAAACATGTTTCAAGGCCACTGCAAATATTGTGAATTATTGTAAATCAAATATATATATAGTAAATGAATACAAAAACAAAAAACATACAATTAGCCACAACATCTTTTTGTATTCTGCATATATCCAAGAAACTCAGTATCACAATGCAGCATGTAAATGTTATTTGATACATACATTAAAAACAGCATTTCCCACCTTCCATCAGCACTGTTCTCAGTGGAACAGCATGTATATATGAGCAAACAGGGTATGACAGGGATTTCTTCAGCAAACAACTCATTGCCTTTCTTTTTAAACAGAAGCACATGCTTAGTGACATGGATAAGGCCATTTGATGAATGAATAGGGATAATATAATTCCCACAGGGAGTTTAAACCAAGCAACCACATCATCAGGATCACTGAGCACAACTGAACAGAGGGTCAAAATGTTATTTGTGCCTCTGCATTCTATTTCTCAGACTGACATTACAATATTGAAAATCTTGTTCAGGATTCCTCCTTGACATGCTACCATCTTGACAGCAGTGACAGAGAGGTGTACAACAGTAAATACTCTTCCAACACTGTATAATTTCATACAATACTGGACAATAAAGCAAATTTTAGGACTATGGTGCTATTAAGTAAGTTTATTAATGGATTATTAATAAAATTTCAGACCTTCTGCTAGAAAATTATCATCTTAAAAAAGAGAAATGCTAGCCATCTCCCATTGTAGCACCATCTCTATGCCCCAAACCATCATTATCTTGGAGGTCAACAATGATTCTATCGAGTTAGTTGATGAGTTCTATATGGTTCATTTTCTCAAAAGTCCTCCACTTTCTATAAAGCTGAAGCTGGGAATGAAACGGAACATTCACCACAGAATGAGCATACTGCAATATAGGAACTTAATACTATCCAGGTCAAAACAGTGTGTTTGAACACTGGGCTACTGGAGTCAATATTGAACTATCCCCAACCAGATCTTCTTATACAGTACGACAGCAGCTAATCAGCTAATTTCCCAAACTTTTAATTTCTCACTCCCTTGCATTACTTAAAATGAATTGATGCAAGGAAAAGGTGGGCAACTGAAATACTGCTCAAGTGACAAGAAAATCTAGGAATGCAATTCGGTGGTAGACACTGTAGTGATTGTAACGAGGTCAGCCAGGTGGACCTCATAGAAAATGGGTTCCCTGATTGGGGCTTTCAGTCTGGTCCAATCAGGGACTCCTGGTTGACAGACATAAACAGGAGAGTCAGACATCTTGTTCACTCTGAGAGCTAGCTCGGAGGAAGATCAGTGTCAAGTGTTATGCATGTGTAAATAAAGGGCGACTTGATGACAGGATACTGGCCTCTGTGGACTTATTGCAGGCACCCCATCCCATTTTCCTGGCTTCACAGTTCCAATACTGCTTTGTAACTGAAACTTTGCTCAACAAATTCCAGTTTAAATATCATCACTAGGAAATACTGGAAGTTGGCCAGTCAATTACAATATTAGCACTGAGTGAACCTAATTGAAACAAAATGTATTTTAGTGGTTCATCTTGTTCACTTTAAATATATTAAAGGAATCACCAAAACTAATTTGGAAAACATAATAAATATTGAAGCAGATTTTCATCTTTAACTGTAGGTCTAGGATCTGCCTGTTTTACAATTCATTGATTTCTATAAATGGAGGATGCCTCATTCCACCAGATTGCCACATAAACAATTAAAATGAAAATCAACCTCACAAATTCATTAATACTCTGTAAGGTCCCAGTAAATTTTTAATTTTCTTCCTTCCTGTAAGCATGCGATATCACAGCCAAGCCTCAACTGACATCCACACAAAAGCACATTCTAGCAAGCATAGCTGGATAACACTATGAATAAGAAATCCTGACTTATTTTATCCATTGATAATCCAGAGCAGGGAAAAGAGCTATTCTACAGTGGCTATTTTAATATCTGTACATTACAAAACAAAATTATCAGACACCAACCTCATCTACATTTTCAAATGCATTGATGACATCATATGGCAGACAGGAGAGAAGATCTATAACAAACCAGGTCTTCAAATAATTCATACGGATGAGCTTTGGGTCTGAAATGACCTCTCCTGCTGGCCCAACGAAGGTGGTATGAAAATTGAGGACAATGTCTACTAAGAAGATTACATCAACTATACTGTCAACAACCAGCCAAGTCACATTGTTCTGTTTGGTCTTGAAGGAGACATTGTATGGAACCATGATTGCAGTGTAGAAAGTCAGAATCAGGATTATCCAATCCCAGGAAGTTTTGAATGCGCAGTAATGCAAGATGATATGTGGTGGAGTCTTTGGTGCCTCTTGCTTGTATTGTGGAAGGATCTCAGACCCAAGCTGTAATACCTGCACAGTAAACACAAATTGTGATTATAATTATCAAAACACAGAAACTAATAACAGTAGAACACAAGAGTGCACCTCTGAAATGTTACAAACTCATGGGATTAGCTATGTTTGCCTAGAAATCCAAGAGTCTGGGTTACAGCATGATCTAAATCAAAGAAGCAAGAAGGAATTCTACAAGATCTAAAGCAATGATTTTACTTTAACAAAACTCTGCCATTCAATAGTATAATGGCTAATCTGTTTGAGCTTCAAATTCCATATTCCTTTCTACTCCCAGTAACCTTTCATTCCTTAGCCTAACAAGAGTTGATCTACCTTTGCCTTAAAAGAATCAAAGACTCTGCCTCCACCACCATCTGAGACAGAGAATTTCAAAAGTCACACAACATTCTGAGAGAAAGAAAGCTTCTCATCGTCTCAGTCCTAAAAGGGCTTTCCCGAATTTTTAAGACTGTAGCTCATACAAATGTCACCTCTAGTTGGTGCAAGGAGTACATAAACGCTAACAAAGAGTTGTCTTCACTCGTAAACAATGATAACAGCCAAGCCATTCGAGGTCAACCCAGAGGAGGCGTTCCTTCTTCAGGGCCTAAGGCCACTACCTCATGTTTTTGAAGCCTCCTCACCCACACCACTGCCTCTATTATCTTCCTACAATTGGCCATCTTTCATAGATTGTGCAGTCAAAATGATGCATCCCTGTAAATGCACCATTGCATTGAGCATGAACTAGTCATGCTCTCAATGAAAAATGCTCCATTTATAAGCTGCCACACGGCTTGCACAAGCAGCTCTGTGGTAAGGATAGGGCACATTCTGTCCCATCATGAATGCTGGGTAAGAGCCCTGCCATTGAATGGCCAAGGCAGAAAGGTAGATTGGTCATCATTTGTAAAAAAAATGAATTGACATGAAATAAAGGTTTGCCAGTCTTTGCATGTATGTTATATCCTGTCCCCAATTGCCTAGAAAATGTGGTGGTGAGCTTTCTTTTTGAACCGCTGCTGTCCTTGCAATGTGGGGATACCCACAATGCTATTAGGGTGGGAGTTCAGAATTTTGACCCAGCGACAGTGAAGGAACAGCAATATACTTTCAAGTCAGAATGGTAAGTGCCTTGGAGGGGGATTTGTAGGTGGTGGTGTTGCCGGGGTGGTGCTGCCCTTTTCTTCTAGATGGTTGAGGTCTCAAGTTTGAAAAGTGATGTCGCAGGAGCCTTGGTGAGTGACTGTTGTGCATCTTGTAGATGGTACATACTGCTGGTACTGAGTATAAGTGGTGAAGGGAAGCAAGTAGATTTTATTCCATTACACTCTTGACTTATGCCTTGTAGATGGTGAACAGGCAGGAGGTGATTTATTCATCCCAGAACTCACAGGGCAGAACCTTATGCAAGATTTCAGAAGTCATCATCCAGTTCTTCAGAAGACCTTGTCTCTTAGGAGTCAACTGCTGAAGCTATGTGGAGAATGGAAAACTTGGAGGATACACAATTCCCCAAGAATGAATGAATCATAGCAATTACCAGGAAATGTAGCACAGACATAGAAGATCATCTTCCAATGATCACAATCTAACTGGACACTGAGGGAGTAGAATTAGTTGCAATTGATTTCCTCTTTCTCGATGTTACTTCAAATCTGGCACCAAGTCAAGCGATCACCAGGTACCCAGCAATAATGATGTCATCAAGCACAGTAAACAGATAATTACATGGAAGTATTCTCACAGACAGTGAACCCTGTTGTTAAGTCCACTTAGTTTACATTTTTGATTAAACTTTACAAAGTGAAGTAAATGATTGGCTCATACATACAAGACGATGAAGCTTAATTATCAACATTCTTAGAAAGTCTCTTTTTATCATGATGGAGAGTGTAACCTATATGTTTTTCAGGAACAATGAGGCTATTCAGCAGCAACTTTGAACATAGAAGGTCATTAAAGGTCCCGAGTCATACCCCATTCAACAAGTTGCAACTTGTAGTGGTAATTTTACTCGACTAATCCAGAGATCCAGCTTAATGCTCTGAGGCAGGTGGTTGAAATGCACTATAGCAGGTGAAATTTAAATTCAATAAATAAACCAAATTTAAATAGAAGCTAGTCTAATAGTGATCATGAAACCATTGCCAATTGTAGTAAAACCCATCAAGCTCAATAATGTCCTTAGGGAAGGGAAAATGCTGTCCTTACCTGGTCTAGCCTACATCCAACTCTTGACTCAACTGCCTTCTGGTAAGGACTAACAAACAACTCAGTTGTATTAAACTGCTATGAAGTCAAAGAAAAAGGACTGAAATTCGACAGACCACCCAGCAGTAACCTTGGCACTGGAAATAACAATGGCAAACCCAGACCTGCAAAATCCTATGCCAAAATTGGGAGCACTACCACATATGACTAGCCAAGCAATATCCTGTCCCAGATACCACTATCCATGTGTATGTCCTGTCTGAACTGTAGGATAGACCAACCAGAGGGGGTAGCACAGTGGTACAGAGTCAGTTATCCTGGAAATACTCAACATTGACTCCAAAAAGCATGAAGCCCCATGGTATCAACTCAAACATGGGCAAGGAAACCTTTTTCTGATCAACACCTACTGTGGCCACTCCACCACCCGACTCCCATCCCCCACTCCGCAACTCCCGTGGATGAATCGGTACTTCACCATGCTGAACACCAACTAGAAGAAGCACTGGGTGGTAAGTGCATAGAATGTACAGTATTGATAGGAGTGACCACTGCACAGTCCTTATGGAGACAAAGTCCTATCTTTCCATTGAGAAAGGCCACCGTTCTGTTGTGTGATACATTAAGATAGATTTTGCACCTAAAACTGTGCATCCATGATGCGCTGTGGACCATCAGCAGCATTAAACCACAATGTGTCACCTCACAGCCTGGCATAATTTCACTCTACCATTATAATCAAGTTTGAGGGGCCAGCCCTAGTTCAGTGAAGGCTGCAGGAGGGAATACAGGGAGCAGCAGCAAGCATACCTGAAAATGAGATGTCAACCTGGTGAAGTTACAAGACAGGACTACTTGCATACCAAACAAAGCAGCATGAAGTAGACAGGTCCAAGCAATCCCACAAGCAACAGATCAGATCTAAGTTCTGTAGTCCTGCCACAGTAGTCCAATCATGATGGTAGTGGACAATTAAACAACTGACACATCTCCACAGCCAAATTCATTGGGGTCAGGATTCTTGTTGTATAGACTACACCTTGTTAGTTATAGAGGTGTCAATGTTTACTAATAAAAATGTTCTCTACACTACAGATAAATTGCTGCATTGATGGCACTCAGGTGAGAGATTACTTCAACATTAATGCCCCACAATCATGCCCTCAAATGGTTTCGCATTTGCTGGTGGTTACAGCAATCCCTCCCATTTAAGCCTACACAATAGCCTCAATTGAACAACTTGGCGGTGAACTTGAGAAAGAGTTCCTATTTCATAGCTGAGATGCTGGCGACAATTCTCAGCATTAAGACACACATGTTACAAACACATGAGGAACAAATAATAATCATTCTTCTCATTCCTATCCTGTCTTGCTTGTGGCTAATCTTGCCACGAGGTCTACACCTCATTAAGAAGATAGAAATGCTTTAAGTTAATACTACACAAGCATATAAGGGATGCTAGGGGCATTAAGTCTTCAATAATTCATGGCTATTAGAGCACTTTAAATTGGAAATGTAAAAGAGAAAAATTCCTTTCAGTGGAAGCATAGTTCACATTGCAACAACTCATCTTGAGGACAAAGGTACATGCTGATTCAGTTCAGATAGCTGGTAATTGCTAACCCCAGCATCACAACTGAGACTTCAAAGCACTTAGAATGTGAAGAGGATGTCAGTTTTGAAGTCTTAGCAGGATTTTTACCATGGAAACCAATTACAAGCATTACCTCAGAATCATATCAGTAAGTCAAAAGGACCAAATATCACTTGATGAGTATTTAATAACAGCAGATGTCAAACACCCAGCCTTTTCTATTTTTGTGAAATTGTTCTCTTTCACTTAAATAGTACACATAGCAAAATGTACATTACGTACAGCATTAAGTGTTCTACAATTAATGGTCAATAAAATTTGTATTATTCAGTTTCTTTGCACATGGGTGGATAGCTGTCATTTCAGTTCTCTCACAATCGTCACTGCAGGATTCACATAGTATATGTCCTATAGGATTGACACTATCCTATTTGCTAAAGGAGAATTTGATTCTATTTTAACTATTGATTACAAAGAGTTGGCAGAAGACCAAAATTGAGAAATACAATATTGTATAAACATAATTGTTACGCATTAATAATACCTTTATATTATTTAATTAACTAAGTTTATATTAAGTACTTTAACATTTATTGATTGTCTAAAGTGCAAAATAGAAAGAACTTCACATATAATGATTGTTATATGGGCAAACATGTCAGTCAGTTTTGCACACAGCTTTAAACAGAACAAAAAAAATGACAGGTAATCTGCTCCTAATTGCATTTCAATACCTTGCTGCTAAAAAGTGACCTTTAGCTGATCATCAAATTTCACAACCAAAAGTATGGGCAAAGCCAAGGATGTAACATTATATATAAAAATTATAATGATGAATAATTTGATGAATACTTCATACTTTGAGCAAAAAAACAAAAAAGTGTGCATTTCAAATGGATCCAGTGATTTTAATCAACCTGTAACAACACACCTCTGTGGGAGGTGGGACTTAAGCACCTCTTTGGATAAAACCGTAAGACACTCAGGTCAGTCTATTGAATATTCATTTCTTTGCAGAGATAGTAGGAACTGCCGATGCTGGAGAATCTGAGATAACAAGGTGTAGAGCTGGATGAATACAGCAGGCCAAGCAGCATCAGAAACGTCAGCTTTCCTGCTCCTCTGATGCTGCTTGGCCTGCTGTGTTCATCCAGCTCTACACATTGTTATCTCTCTTCATTTCTTTGCAATTGGTTTACACTTAGAACTTCCATTTTTAACTCAGTTTGAGAGTCAGAGATTGTGAATTCAAGCTCCACTTAAGACTTTTGCAGAAAATCTGGGGGGCCACTGCAGCGTATCGCTGAGGGAGCACTGCACTGACTGAAGTACCATCATCTGGAAGGGTTGTTAAAACAACGCCCCATTAGCCCTTTCAGGCCATGTAACAGATCCCATGGCACTGTTTTGAAGCATAACAAGGAAATTCTCTGGTGTCCTGGTCATTGAACAGAGATGCTCCCCTCCAAGCATCTATGACACAATTAATGGAAAGCAAAATGACTTAATTGGAAAAGAAGAAATTGCCGGATTTAGTCCTCAAACCTTAGATAGCAAGTTCAGAATCTCACCCTTGAGTGACAACAAGGTACGCATTTGCACTTCATCAACATCCTAGGTCACCGAATTAACATCACATTTCCAATTTTCCTCTCCTCCATCAAGAAACTCGACAAGTAATACAGGGTGGGTATACATCCACTGTACCAAACATCCAAATTCTCTTTGCATGGAACTGCTTCTCCTTCACAAGAACCCTGCATGGTCAATAGCTGCAATCCTCTCCAGCCCTTCATCAACAGTTTGGCATCACTAAGGGACCAGCATCACAACATCATCAGGCCTGCACTTCAACCAATGAGCCACCATTTCAGGGCTTCAGACATCTACTTAGGAGTTGAGGGGAAACTAGGACTTACTTACATCGGCCAGGTTGCTTTACACTCCAGGACGGCCAGGTATCTCATGTATCTACACAGGAGATTTTTCAGTTGCGGGTCTTAGGATAATTCTTAACACACAATGTCTTTAGCACTTACTTACAGGCAGACAGTCTCTGGGGTTTAACTTGCTTTTCAGCACAGACGGATGGCGGGCAGCTTGTGGCAGTGGGAAGCACTGAGGAATAATTGTATCAGTCAGAGAAGAAGTAGCCAGATGCTGCACCAATATCAGGGCTGCAGCATCAACCAGCAGTGTACACAGTGAACATTCTGCACATGTTTGAAGTGAATGGTGATCAGCAAAAGTCAAAAGATTGAGTGCTTTGTGGGGTGAAACGGGACCACAGTCAGTTGACAGGGGGAGCCCATATAGGGCTGCTTCAATTACAGTCCAGAGGGTCAGTTACAGTCAATGCAATGGCTCACTGGCTGTGACCCATCAAAGAGGGCAGCAGCTCAGTGGGTAGCACTGCTGTGTCACAGCGCCAGGGACCTGGGTTCGATTCCAGCCTTAGGTGACCATCTGTATGGCGTTTGCACATTCTCCCCGTATCTGCATGAGATTCCACCAAGTGCACTGGTTTCCTCTCACAGTCCAAAGAAATGCAAGTTAGGTGGATTGGCCGTGCTAAATGGCTCTGTAGTGTCCAGGGATGTGTAGGCTAGGCAGATAAACCATGGTAAATTCAGGATTATAGGGATATAGTATAGGGCTGGGTCAGGTTGGAATGCTCTTCAGTGTGCGAATGCAGACTCAATGGGCAGAATGGCCTCTTTCTGCACTGGAGGGATTCTATGAATCTAGTCGGTTACTTGTGCGAGATGAACAATGCTTGGCAACAGCAATTTCTTACGTCCTAGGGATGTATGAAAAAGCTTCTCATCCTGAGAAGGGGCACCTGGAATCAGGCCATGATCCTTCACTCCCTCTTGCTTCACTATTGATGCTCAGCACCTATAGTTAAAGTGATGGTGTGCAGGTGTGAACGCATACCCGGCAGTTACTGCTGTCACCGTTTCCATGGAGAAGGCCTGGTGCTAGCTTGGCGGAGTCACCTCCAGCAGTGAGGACCTTAGAAGACTCTGCTACACTTTACTCCAACCTACTGAATGCCTCTGGCACACCATCCTGATTTTCTGTGCCTGTCTCTGCAGATTGAGCAAGTCATTTATGGTGGAGAGTGGGGGCATGTCTTCTGCCTGGTGCTCAGCAGATACCAGGTCTCCAGTAATCCTGAGTGCCAAGAACAGCAGCATTTCTTCATTTACATATGTGAGCCCACTGACTTCTTTGACTCAATTGCGCATCTTAATTGTGTCATATTCTTACCTCAGCCAGCCGTGAATGCTTATGAACACTTTCTCCCTTATGTACAGTAGGAGCAAGCTGCTGTAGAACACCTCTGCTGCTTGTAAGGGCTCTTGTCAGACGGGCAAATTTACCCCAGCCTACAAATAAATCACACAGTTTAAAAACTTGTATTATCCAAAAAAAAATCTCTCCTTTACTCTTCAGGTATCAAGATATCCAATTGTATTTGCCAGCCTGCTTAAAAACACTAGAAAAAAATGGAACAAAGAAAGCAGCATTTGGGAAAATAAATCCAGTTTATCACACAGAAGTCAATTGTTTCTATTATTCCTGCAATCAGAAATAGATAATACTTTGATGGTATTTTAACCACTATAGACTCAACACTAAATGATGAAATTATGCAAAAAACATTCAAAAATTACTAAATGAAAACAGAAAGAGGGTCCTTTAGGGCCTTTAACTGGCTCTGACCGATCTCCCTCACTTCGACCCTCACCCCCTCTCTTCCCTCCCACAACAGCGATAGGGTTCCCCTTGTTCTTACCTACCATCCCACCAGCATCCACATCCAGAAGATCATCAGACACCATTTCTGCCACCTCCAGCAAGATGCCACCACCAGACACATATTCCCCTCCCCTCCCCTGTCTGTCTTCCGCAGGGACCGTTCCCTCCAGGACACCCTCTTCCTTCACCCCCAACACACCCCACCCACCGCCCCCCAACAGTCCCACGGCACCTTCCTCTGCAATCGGGAAAGGTGAAACGTCTGCCCATTTACCTCCTTCCTCCCCAGTATCCAAGGGTCCAAACATACCTTCCAGGTGAAGCAGTGCTTTACCTGCGCTTCACACAATCTAGTCTACTGTATTTGCTGCTCAAAATGTGGTCTCCTCTACATTGGGGAAATGCAGCACAGACTGGGTGACCACTTCACAGAAGACCTATGTTCTGCCCACTAAAAAGACCCTGAGCTTCCAGTTGCTTGCCACTTCAACACACCATCCTGTTCCCTGCCAACATCTGTCTCAGGCTTGCTGCAGTACTGCAGCAAAGCTCAGCATAAACTGGAAGAATAACAACTTATTTCTGCTTGGGGACCTTGCAGCTTTCTGGATTCAATATCAAGTTCAATAACTAGCCTGCACCCCCACACACCAGGGCTTGTTATCACACAGTTTGCTATTACACACTACCTGTTGTTATCCACTAACAGTCCCCATTAGCAGCTATTCAACCTCCTAGCCAGATTGTTATCCACTCCGTTGTCTGTCCAACTGTTCTTCTCTCTCTTTGGACTCTATCCCCACCCTATCTTCTGCATAAAAACCAACATTTTCCTAGCTACCATCTGAGGAAGGGTCACCGGACCTGAAACGTTAACTCTGATTTATTTTCAAACGCGGACAGAACTGCTGAGCTTTGCTAGAAATTGCTGTTTTTGTTTCCAAAAATTACTAATTGTGTCCTGGCATTTTTCAATACTTTTTCTTTTCTTTCGAAAGATTATTGTAACCAAGTTTGAAAGTGTTAAAAAGACAACTTAATTAAAATAAAATATAGTCTTAATTTAAGCTATTTTTCTAATGAACCCGTGCAGGGACGTTATTACACACCTCTGGAGCAGGTGGGGCTTGAACCTGGGCTCTTGGTCCAGGGGTAGGGACACCACCAGTGCACCACAAGGGAGCCCACAATGAAATTCTGAGATAGCAGAAGGCATCTTTGATACACCAACTTCTGGATTATGGGCCCAGCCCACTGCTGCTGCACCATTTAATGACGTCATGACATGCAAAGCATGTGCTGCCAATGACGCTGTTTTGAAGTGGGTAGCTTCTACCGTTGTCAGAAATAATAGCAGCCAATTTGAAAACAGCAAATTTCTACAAAAAACAACGCAAAAATGACCAATTTGTTTTTGTGATGCTGATCATATGATGGCCCATGTTACTTAGAAAAAAGCCTTATATTTTATGTTGGAGTGATGGTTTGGCACATTTGCCTTCATTGGTCAGAGCATTGGGTATAGGAGTTAGGGTGTCATGTTCAAAATATTGGTGAGGTCACATTTGGAGTACTTCATACAATTCTGGTTGCCTTGTTATAGGAAGGATGTTATTAAACTGGAAAGGGTGCAGAAAAGATTGACAAGGATGTTACTGAGACTGGAAGGTTTGAGTTAGAAGGAGAGGCTGGCTAGGATGGGACATTTTCCCCTGGAGCATAGGAGGCTGAGGGGTTTATAAAATCATGAGGGGCATAGATAAGATGAATATCAAAGTCTTTTCCCCAGGTAGATGAGTCCAAAGCTACAGGGCCTAGGTTTAAGGTGAGAGGGGAAAGACTTAGAAGGGACCTAAGGGGAAACTTTTTCACATAGAGGGTGGTGTTTATATGGAATCAACTGCCAGAGGAAGTGGCAGAGGTGAGTACAACTACAACACTTAAAAGACATTTGGACAGTTACACGAATAGGAAAAGCCAAGAGGGATATGGGCCAAACACTGGCAAAGGGGATTAGTTCAGTTTAGAAAAACTAGTCGGCATGGACAATTTGGACCAAAGTGTCTTTTTCCGAGCTGTATACCTCTATAACTAGGTTTCTTTGTAATGATGACTTCCAGAACTAGTTTTAGAATTGGAAATAAGTGGCAGGCAGAGAATTCAAGCCAAAGTGCTAAATAATGGGAACAGGACTAAAAAATGTTAAAAAGACAAGACCTATGCCTTGTGTCTTAGTGCCCGGAGCATTCACAATAATTATAGTGGATGAATCATACAAATAGATACATATGGATATGATATAGTTGGAATTATGGAGACATGGCTGCAGGATGGGAAATAAATATCCAGGTGTACTCAGTTTTTTTAGGAAGAACAGGCAAAGAGGAAAAAGAATAGTTAGCATTACTGCCTAAAGAGGAAACAAACCCAATAGCAAGGAAAGAAATTAACTCTGGTGAAGTGGACTCTGTATGGGTACAAGTAAGAAACACCAGAGGGCATAAAAAGATAATGGGGATTGTACATAGACCCCTTGACAGTGGTAATGTTGGGAAATACATTAAACAGGAAATTAGAACTTCAGGCAATAATGGTACAGCTGTAGTTATGGGCAAATTTAATCTGCATATAAATTGGGCCAATCAAATCAGTAACAATATGATATAGTAGGAATTCCTGGATGATTTTCTAGATCAATATGGCAAATAACTAACTAGAGGACAGACCATCCTTGACTGATCAATGTATAATGAGAAAGGAATAATTGGCAATCCGGCTGTGCAAAGCTCATTGGAGAACAGTGACCATAATATGATTGAATTCTTCGGTAAGCTGAAAGAGTGACAGATTCTCAGACTAAGTTCTAACTACACTAAACTATGAAGGTATGAGGCACCAGTGGACCATGATAAATTGGGGATCGTTATTTTAAGGAATGAGGTGGAAACACAATGGCAAACATTTAAAGCGTGCATAGAGGAACTGCAACAATTGTCCATTCCTATCTGGAACAAAAGTAAAGGAGGAAAGACAGCCAGGCCATGGCTAACAAGGGAAAATCAGGGACAGCATTAGATCAGAGGAAGGGCCATAATAATTGGCCATAAAGAGCAGTGGACCTGACCATTGGGAGCAGTTCATATTTCAGCAAAGGAGGGCAAAAGGATTGGTTAAGAGGGGGCATATAAAGTACATGTGTAAGCTTGCAGGGAACATATAAACTGATTGTAAAGCTTCTATTGGTATGTGAAGAGAAGAAGTTCATTGAATGTCCCTTACAATCAGAAACAGGGGAAGTTATAAATGGGGAGTAAAGAGATGGCAGACTAATTAAATACATATTTCGATTCCATGTTCAAAAAGAAGGACACAAATAAAGTCCCAAAAATGTTGGGGAACACAAGGTCTAGTTAAGGAGAGAAACGGAAAGAATTCAGAATTAGCAGGGAATTGGTGTTGGGGAAATTGTTGGGATTAAAGGTCGATAAATCCCCAGCACTCAATAATTTACATCCCAGAGTACTTAAGGAAGTGGCCCTAGAAATATGGGATGCATTGGTGGTCATCTTTCAAGATTCTACAGACTCTGGAACAGTTCCAATGGACTGGGGAGAACCAATGGGTGCCCCTGCTATTTCAAAAAGGAGGTAGAGAGAAAACAGGCAATTTTGAACCGGTTAACCTATTGACAGTGGGGAAAATGCTGCTGTCCAATATCAAAGCTTTAAACACAGTGACAGGATCAGACTGATCAGCATGGATTCATGACAAGGAAATCATGCTGAACAAATCTATTGGAAATTTTCAAGGATGGACCTAGTAGAGTTTATAAGGAGGAACTGACTAGTTAGAATGAGTGTAGTTGTTAATATTGAAATGTTCTTTGATTTCTGTGACTAAAAGTTTTTTTTTGAAACTGTGAACCTTGTGGATTTATTCTTTCAGTAAAAACCTGGTGGGTCAAACCAGGGCAGAACTTACACAGTCAATGGTAGGGCACTTGGGAGTGTTATAGACAAAGAGATCTCAGGGTACAGGTTCATAGCTCCTTGAAAGTGGAGTCACAGGTATACAGGGTGGTGAAGAAGGCTTTTGGCATGCTTGCTTTCATCGGTCAGAGCATTGAGTATAGGAGTTGGGACATATTGTCGCTGCTGCACTAGATGTTGGGAAGCCCACATTTGGAGTACCACATGCAGTTGTGGTTGCCCTACTATAGGAAGGGTATTATAAAATGAGTGCAGAAAAGATTTACTAGGATGCTACCTGGACTGGAAGGTTTTAATTATCAGATGAGGTTCGGACTTATTTCCCTGGAGCTTAGGTGACTGAGGAGTGACCTTAAAGAGGTCTATAAAATCATGACAGGCATAGATAAGGTGGATAGCCAACAGTTTTTTCCCCATGGTAGGGGTGTCTAAAAGTAGAGGGCATAGGTTTAGGGTGAGAGGGGAGAGATACAAAAGGGTCTAAAGGGGCAACCTTTTCACAAAGAGGATGGTGAGTGTCTGGAACGGGCCGCCAAAGGCAGTGGTGGAGGCCGAGTACAATTGTACCATTTAAGAAACATTTGAACAGGTACGTGAATAGGATAGACATGGCAGAATGTGGACCAAATGCAGCACATGAGATTAGATTAATTGTGAAAACTGGACGGCATGGACAAGTTGAGCCAAAGGACCTGTTTCCATGCTATAAACCTTGATAACTCAATGACCTGATTTATTGTATTTTTGAAAAAATAAACTTAGTCTAATCGGAGATCATATCAAATGAAAGATTAAAAATTAGCCAAGTTATAAGTGAGATAAATAGTTAATTTCATTTGGATTTGATGAGCTGTGGTTTAATTGGGAATTCAGCATTCTCCAAGATGTTTTAAATAAACAGATGTCAAACTCTGCAAAATGCAACTGGCCTTGAGGTTTGCATGTTCTAAACATAAATAACTTTAATTGTGCTCTACTGTATTGACCACACAGTTTGCCCTTTTATTTGTTGTGTTGGTTAATGCTCTGCTATACGAGACTGATAACTGAGATGATATATTAAAGCAGTTTACATAACCAAAAGTGCTTTTGGACATTCAAGTTTTACTTTATAAATCTGCCTGGATGTTTTTAACTTCACAATTAGTTCAATTTTTCAGCTTTTGTGCAGTACTTCACATTTTATTAGATTTATTCTGCCAGTTTCCCTATTCTGCATTGGGGCAACTTTATGTATGTTTGCTCCTGGCACAGAAGAACATAGGTACAGGAGTCGGTGTTAAATTAGTTCCGTTATTTAATTGGTTCATGGCTGAATTTGCAGTTTATTTTCTTTTGGCCCATATCCCTCAAGACTTTTACTTATCAAAAGTCTACTAATCTGTCTTGAAAATTATAATTGACCCAACATTCTCAGTATCTGAGAGGAAGGGGTTCTATAGCCCACATCCTTTATGAGAAAACATGCTTCGAAATTTTACTGCTAAATAATGTCACTTTAATTTTAAGATGATGCCACACAATAATCTATTCATTATTGCATTGTTGTTTGTGGGAACTTGCTGTTTGCAATTAGCTGCCTCATCTCTTATTTCACAACTAACTACGCTTAAAAAGGTGCTTCCTTATCAACAAAGTGTTTTGAGATGTCTGATAGTTATGAATGGTGCAATATAAATACAAGGCTTCCTTACCATATTTCAAAGATGTAGTTGAATAGAAATTCATCTTGGGAATGTAGTGCAAATTGAGAGATAATGAATCAGAAATCTTACCCATTTTGGTGTAAAGCAGACTGCTGATTCATTGGTGCCCTTTTCACCCAACTTGTAAAACACGAGGGTGAAGCATCAGAACTGGCCAGGTTTCAAAAAGCAGGCTGGGGGAATTGACAGGCGGAAAGGGCATTGATACCTTTTGGGTAAAGGCTCCGGATATACAGGGTAGAGGTAAGCACCCAACCATTCTTGTCTCTTTGAAGGATCGCTTTCAAAATGTGCCATCACAATCATGTCCACATAGTCATGTTATGGCAGTAGAGACAGACTGAGACACTTGCCAATTATTGGGCACTTAAGGCCCAAGGGCAGACAGCCTAGTGGGTGCCTTATACACACCCCATATTATGAAAACCAGTCTGGAATGGGCAGGAAGTGGGCTCAGCACCCAATATATTTTACCACCTCCATCGAGAAACACACAGACCAAGAGGCCATAAAATCCAACCTTCATTGCTTTATCAATTTAACTATGTCTAACCTCTATCAATTTAAGGGAAAGATATCACAGTTATGTTATGATAGCACATTAAATTAAACATTTTCTTCAAGAACATTAAAAGTGATTCCTAATTTAGTTACTGTAATTTACCTATTGAAATAGTTTGCTATAATCTTTACTCATACAGCATAATAATATAAACAATAGAACATACAGACATGAATTTATTTATTTTCAGAGTATACTTTAATGTGATGTTAAACTGAATTAAGTATAATTCAAAGCAAAGAAAGGCCAGAACAGTTACCTTTAGATGACTCATCTTCAATGGGTTGTTTGAACGCTGTGATATCACTGAAGGTGCAAAGAAATAGTACCACCTTATCTTGCTCATTTCGAATTGGAGCAATTTTCACAAAGAACCACACTGGTGTCCCTTTCACAAAGAAAACAATATTTATTTTAAAGATGTCAAATAGACTTTCCATTTGTGCCGTTACATTATTTAATTATCGCAATCTTTAACAAACAAACTTAAATCTAATTATGCCAATCACATCATACCCTCAAAAATGTATAACATAACACTGTAAAACAAAAATATATTCTTGGGTAACAAAGTATTCTAAAATGCATGTATGACCGCTTGAAGTACAACGGCACAAGCCGGAGGACATATACTCCTGGATATATAATTTCTTCCATGTACTTCTTTTGTCTTTCTGGTTTTCTTGTTAAATTCCTTTCTCTGTACAATTTGATGTAGTCATTAACCAATTTATTTTAATTGAGCTAATAACTGTGTCAAAGGAAATTAATTACCACAGATGGTGTGCAGACCTAAGCACAACCTTCTGAGTTCTAGTCCACATTAACAATTTTCATTAAATACGAACAAAAGAAAACCAGCTTGACAAAGTAGTACAAGTCTCATGTATTATTGAGCTAGAAGAAAGCAACAGCAGGGTCAAGGAAGACAAAATTACTAAAAAGAAATACAAGTTAACTAAATGGAAATTTTGATGAAGATTTCACTCAATAATAACCTTTCTGCATTTGATCATTATCAATTTTTGCATTTTCTACTTGTAATTCAATCTTGCAAAATTTTATATAAATCAAATACATGTTGAGAAAAAAATAACGGTTGATTAAAGTGTTACAAATTATAAAAGTTGTTGGAATACTGTATTGATTTTAAGACTTTGAATTGAATTAAGAACCTTTGGAATCCTCTGTCACAGAAAGCGAGTGAGGCCAAAACATTGAATGTTTTCATGAAGGATTTAAGACACAGTTCTTCAGGCTAAAGGGATCAAAAAGGTATGGAGAGAAAGCTGGCACAGGATACTGAGTTGGATGATCAGCCATGATCATATTGAATGGCGGAGCAGGTTCAAAGGGCTGAATGGCCTACACTTGCTCCTATTTTCTAGTTTCTATGTTTACCCTCCTACAGAATTATGTATCTCAGGAAACAGATTATCCACATGATTTGTTATATACAACCAATGGAACTTGTTCTAAAATGTAACCTTATTTTTGTTAGAAGCATGCAGGACACATATTGAACAGAAGAAGAATCTGTCGAATCAATTGTGAATCAGAGACATCTTTTCATGTTTTCAACAGTGCTAAAGTACAGCTGTGAACAGCTGAGAGAGAGTCAGCTCCAGTGGTATAATTTAAGTTAGTGCAATGCAGTGTAGAGACAAGGTTGCACTTTTAAGTTCACTCCTATCATGAATTGTTATCATAAACACTTGAAAATATTTAAATGCCATGAAATCAGAGCAGCAGTACTTTTGAAAAACTTCTAACGTTATGAATAAAATTCTAATCACTGTACTCTATGAAATGCAACAATACTTTCAAAACTAATGCACTCCTATTGTCTTTGCTTTACTTTTTAAACATTCAATGTAAATTATCTGTGCAAAATTGGACTATGGTATGAAACTAATTGGAGACTCCTTTAACTATTTACTAAAAATGAAAGTTGTGATGCCTGAACTATGATTCGTGAGCTATTGATGTATAATTTTGGCCACACAGGCTATTTTCAATATGCTAACTGGTCTAAGGCACAGTGACGGTGGACAGGAAGCATGTACACACTTTTGGCCAGAAATATGCCTCCTGACATTTTATGTAGCAACAAGAGAATATGAAACAAGTTCAATCACAGCTTCCTAGTAGCATGCAAAATCAAGCCTGAAAGCCAATTGGATTTGGATCTCAGGTTGGTATTGGTCAACAAGTGAAGTTGTTAAACTGTTCAATTTGTTTTAACTTTTGTGCACAAGTCTTTTGGCCAGGAACCTATAATGACAAAAGGCTGATATGAAAATATTGTGCCAAAATGTGTCCTGCCCACACAAGTTAATGTGCAGACAGGCAATGCTCAGTGTTTCTTGATGAGTATTAATGGTCAGCATTTATTGCACTGCCTGCTGGCTGTACAATTGAGGAAAGATATTGAAAAAAGTAAATTTACCTAAAGGCAGAGAGTGTTCCTTAAAGAGGAGGTGTAGTCTGGCTACAGGCCCCTAGGATGAAGTTGATGAACCTTGTCTAAATGGGAGTGAGCAGGTACAGAGGTTCTCTGATGCTACAACAGAGGCATTAGTGCATGCAGTGGATATCTTTCAAATATCTTCTTTGTAAGCAATAGTAAGAAATTGCAGAGCTTGACAATGCTAGCAGCACTATATAATAATCTGACATGAGTTGTTAAGTAAGAAGACTTCTCCACACAGACGTGCACCACTGAAAGCCTCACTGATTACAACATCAATAACACATATTGTACTGCAATATTTTGCCAACCCATGGATAACAAAATGAATTGAAGGAAAATATTAGATCCAAAGAGCAGTCATGTAAAGTTGCAAGACAACTGAGGACTGGGAGCTGTTTAAAATTCAGAGGAAGACCAAGAACTTGATTAACAGAGGAAAGTAGAACAAGAGAGTAAAATCGTGAGGAACATGAAATTAGGCTATCAGAGTTCCTATAAACATATAAAAAAAGCAAAAAAGATAAGTGAAGACAAATGGGAGAGCTAATAGCAGAAAACAATGAAATGGCACAGCCATTAAATAACTATCTTAGATCTGTTTTCACAGAAGAGACCTACTGGGGATTTTTGTTTTCAGTGTGTAACTAGGAAAATAGATGAGGGAGAATCAGTGGATGTGATAATCTTGGATATTCAGAAGTTAGTGTTCAAAATCAAAGCATACAGGATTGGTGGTAATAACTTGCGTGGATTGCGAATTGGTTAGCAGACAGGAAGTAGTGTAGGAATAAATGGGTCAATTTCAGAGGGGAAGATGGTGACAAGTGAGGTAATGGGGCCCCAGCTATTCACAATATGTGTATTAATGATTTTGATGATGTCATCATTTCAAGGTTGCTGAAGACACAAAATTACATAGGATTGCAGATGGTGAGAAGAATTTAAACAAAATTCGACGCATTTAGACAGGTTGAGTGAGTAGGCAATGGGGATCTCATTGAAACATATACGACTCTGACAGGGTTGGTCAGACTGCATGCAGAAATGATGCTTCCCTTGCCTGGAAATCTGATACAAGGAGGAGGCAAAATATGTGGTAGGCCACTTTAGACTGAGACAAGGAGAAAATTCTTCACTCAGAGGATGGTAAATCAGTGAGATTCTCTGCCACAGAAGGCTGTGGAAGCCAAGACATTGAATATATTTTTAAAAAACGTATTTCTTAAAAATATATTTCTGGAAACCGAAGACTTTGAGGTATATGGGGAGAGAATGTATCTCAACACCATACATCCAATCAGCCATGATCATGTTGAATGATGGAGCTAGCTTGATGGATCTACTTCTGTTCGCATTTTCTATATTTCTATGTATACATTGGCCATACTCTATATCAATATTTAACTAAAAATCAGAGGTCAATTAGTGCAAAAATAGGCTCAAGTTTTTCAAATTTCCATCAATTTACTTAGATAATGATCATGATTGAATAATCTTTATTCATAATTTTATCTTGCTACTACTCGATAACCTTTACTCATCATTCTGGTCAAATACATAAAATAAAGGTTCCCTATGCCCCAGATATTACTAATTTTAAGTTTTTGCCAAAATAATACTCTTAACTTTTTTGAGGCAAAATTATTTTATTTGTTTTTTATTGTCATTAGTCAATCACATGGGCACAAATAGCACCACAATTACTATTACAGTGATGACTATAATTTTTGTGGTGTTTTCATAACAAGAAGGATAACAAAAATAAACAAAGTATTTGACAATGCAATACAAATGGAACAGATTGCCTTGAGGAAAGGCTCGACAGGCTAGGCCTCTATCCTCTAAAGTTTCAAAAAGTCAGAGGTGACTTAATTGAAATAGATCCTGAGGGACTCGACTGGATGGATGTGGAAAGGATGTTTCCGCTTGCGGGAGAATCTAAAACTCGGGTGCATAGCTTAAAAGTAAGGGGTTGCCTATTTCAAACAGAGATGAAGGTTGTGAGTGTTTAAAATTCCCTTCCTCAAACGCCAGTGAATGCAAAATTTTTAACTATTTTAAGGAAAAAATAGACAGATTCTTGATAACCAAGGGAATGAAAGATTGAGATATGCAGGAATGTAGAGTTGAGGTTTTAAAATCCGATCAGGCATGATCTTATTGAATGGTGGAACAGGCTCAAAGGCCAAGTGGCCTATCTTCGTTCCTTGTTCCTGTGTTCATAAATATGACATCAATATTGAAGATTGTTTTATGTATTATTCTACCTCATACAACATTTTAAACTCCTTGAGTTCTCTGCCCATTGGCGATTATTTGCCAAACTACAGCAAAATGCCACGAGTTTTTACTTTGGTTAGAACTTGGAGGCAGTCCGAGCTGTGCCTCTGCAGGAATGGAGATCAGACCTTGTGCTTCTGGTGTTCTCATACTTCATATTCGATCTTAACCTCTGGTATTCCTGTCTTCTTTAACAACGGTCCCTATCCCTTTTAAATTTATAGAATATTGAACAATCACACTTCAACTAACAATGGCACATTGGTATCATATTACTCATCTGGGAATAGCAATTATCCAGAGTTCAAAGTAAAGATTGCAAGACTATCATTATTTAGGAAAGTGACTCATACATGGCACTAACTCCTCTGGCAGAAGTTTTCTAATGTTAGGCCAGTGTGGTTGGCGGAGTCAGCTTCTTACAGGTTTAAAAATACTTAAATCCCAAGTTATTTGTTACTAAAATTCAACTGTGGCAAGGCTACAAATTAATCAATAGTGGATTAATCTCTCATCCATTATTTTCTTCCCATGTAATTTGGATTTTACACCTCAAAATGTTAAATTTGACTTCTGTGTGCTCAAGACTCAGATGGGAAACTGTTTGCCAAGTTACCCTTGCTTTGACATGAATATATATCTAGAATTGCTTTGTATTGATGCAAAACTAGCTTAGGTATTTTCTTATCAGCCTGTTCAGATATGCAAATACTTACCTCCAGAGCAGGTGGGACTTGAATCTTAGCCTCCTGGCTCTAAGGTAGGAACATTACCATGGCACTACAGGAGTCCTGCTTAGGCTATTATATGATCTTTCACAAACCAAATTAATGAATCATGAGTAAATTAGGCCATGCTGTACCTTGGCAACAAAATACAAAGCAAGGCATCCGCAAAGTACTTTTAAATGAAAGAAATGTTTATTCAATATGAAACCTAACAAACTATTTTAAATCAGACCCTCAAGCAATATTTATATTTACACAGTAACTATAATCTAAATAACAATCTTTGTGTTACACAGAATTCTGAACAAAATATTTTTACTTACTGTTCTTTTTGTACATAAGGATTTCAAATGAGTTTATCTCATAGTTTTCAAATGTCTGCTGTACTTTTTCAATTGTTTCTTTGTCTGTTAACTCTCCAAACATGAAACTGCAAACAGAAATCAAATTTAATATGACAATTATTGGTGTAAAATTTTCACTTTTTTGTTTCAGATCACTATAACCTGAATTTTATATACAACATTCTGATTTTGCAGCTTAATTTAGAACTCCTTGTTAATTTTTTCCAATGTCAACATTAAACACTCCATTCATTATAATAATGAGCTGCATAAAACAAGATTGAATTTAACTATTGCTTGTGCTGATTTTACTAATCTTTTCTGTAGTGCTGTGGGAGCTCCAGCACTAGCCAGTACTTGACCCAGGGTAAAAAGCCATGCAGGACTTCCCCTGCCAAAACAAAGACCACTGAAAATAACTCTTCAGCATGTTAGTGAGAACAGTATCAGGCTCAATTCTGAGATCTGCAGGATTCAAGAACCTATCAACATTTACATAAAGAATTATTATTGTTCAGCTGATAGTAGGAACTGCAGATGCTGGAGAATCCGAGACAACAAGGTGCAGGGCTGGATGAACACAGCAGGCCAAGCAGCATCATAGGAGCAGAGAGGCTGACGTTTCGGGCCTAGACCCTTCATCAGAAAAGGGGGAGGGGAAGGGGCTTTTGAAATAAATAGGGAGAGAGTGGGAGGCGGATAGAAGAGGGATAGAGGAGAGGATAGGTGGAGAGGAAACAAACAGGTCGAAGAGGCGGGGATGGAGCCAGTAAAGGTGAGTGTAGGTAGGGAGTTAGGAAGGGGATAGGTCAGTCCAGGGAGGACGGACAGGTCAAGGGGGCGGGATGAGGTTGGTCGGTAGGAGATGGAGGTGCGGCTTGAGGTGGGAGGAGGGGATAGGTGGGAGGAAGAACAGGTTAGGGAGGCAGGGACGAGCTGGACTGGTTTTGGGATGCGGTAGGGGGAGGGGAGATTTTGAAACTTGTGAAATCCACATTGATACCATTGGGCTGCAGGGTTCCCAAGCGGAGTATGAGTTGCTGTTCCTGCAACCTTCGGGTGGCATCGTTGTGGCACTGCAGGAGGCCCAGGATGGACATGTCGTCTGAGGAATGGGAGGGGGAGTTGAAATGGTTCGCGACTGGGAGGTGCAGTTGTTTATTGCGAACCGAGCGTAGGTGTTCTGCAAAGCGGTCCCCGAGTCTCCGCTTGGTTTCCCCGATGTAGAGGAAGCCACACCGGGTACAGCGGATGCAGTATACCACATTGGCAGATGTGCAGGTGAACATCTGCTTGATGTGGAAAGTCTTCTTGGGGCCTGGGACGGGGGTGAGGGAGGAGGTATGGGGGCAGGTGTAGCACTTCCTGCGTTTGCAGGTGAACATCTGCTTGATGTGGAAAGTCTTCTTGGGGCCTGGGATGGGGGTGAGGGAGGAGGTACTGATAACTTATTGCAACTACATTCTTCAGCTAAGAAAAACAGAACAAAATATGCTGATCACCATTCTATCATTTTTGTATTTGCTAGAAATAGTTATTCCAGACTCCTAATGTAAATTCCAGAACCCAAGTAACTGGCTCCAAAATTCCTGGATTCCATTCCTTTGAAGATGGAACCTTGCATTCAAGTACTAATAACCTGTAAAGATTCAGCAATAATCATGTTTTTAATTTCTTCTCAGCCTTTCAAGCCAATAAATGAAAATTGCAACTTTAATAGCATAATACTAACAATATTAACGTTCATTCAGTTCATTCTTGTTACCAGTGTTCTGACGAAGTCATCAGTACAAATTAAAAAAATCAATAGTAATGGAACAAACAAAAGCAGCTTATCAAAATGTTAATAGTTCATTTGGAAAAGGTTCCTGGGCAGGAAGTTAAATCATGGATTTCTCCCACAGAAGGGCACATCTTTAAAATAAATTCTTTTTAATCATTCCAAACAATTGGTGAAAATTAGTATTTTTGGTTTAAAATTATCCATTCCATACTTACTGGTTGCATTGCTGATTTTTTTTTTTAACATCTATGAGTGCACCAACTGCCCAAAAAGCAACCTTTCACACTGAACAATGTTTACACTGTAGCTGCCGTGTATAGCATTTTCGAATGAGAATTACTCAGTTTTCCAACTTCTGTCTGTTCCCACAAGATGCAACCACTAAATGTATTGACAAATACAAGTGAGGCACATGGTGATTTTCATGAAAATTGAGAAAAGAAACTAGAACGTTGCAGATCTGTTAGTTTAATATGTGTTACAGGAGGTTAACTGAAAACAGCAATTAAGCTACCTGGTGGAAGATGGACATAGCCACAGGACCTCACACAGAGGGGACAGTATTGGCAGTTACTAGTGTGGCCACAAACGAGGCCATGGCACTGTTGGTTCTGAGAGCACAGAGAGTAATGATACATTCCTTCCAAAACCACATCACAACACACATCCCCGTCATCTCACAAAAAAACTTCTTCTCATTTACAATCCACAAATGGTTGAAGTATGCACCTCTTGCTTTAACCTTTTCCTCACCCATATCTTTATGCATTTATCTATTCAGAAACCCACACACTGCCAAGTGATCAACAGCTTGTGTGCAGAAGGCACAGGGTCAGCTGTTGAGACATCACATACTTTAGGGGAGAGCAAGGTCAGCACATGTTGAATCACTGGACATTAACAGGCTACAGAAAACATTGTGGACCCAACCAAGATGCAGTGTCTGATGACTGATATCTCAGCTTCCATTGCAGCACAAACAGAAGCCATCATTGTCTGACTGCTGCTGTTGGGCTAAAACTGTTGCCAGGCAGACTCAGATGGTTGGCATCATGGCTGTGGATAGCAACGCTAAAAGGAGCTTTCAGGGTCTCACTGTAGTCCAGCAATCTGGGTTCCAGCAGATTACAATGATTGTAGGTAGTGGCAATTGCTCTGGGGTACCCAAACTGAATATCCTCTCCAAGCATCACCAAATGTATCCTCTCGTCACTGTCCCATAGCCCCTGCTGTTGACTATCAGCCTGCCAGCCCAGACTGAAACCACCCATGCTAGGATGGTATCCTGAAATAGGGCCTTCTAGGCCCAAAGATACTCATGCTTGTCGTGCAGGTTGATCTATAATCTCCCTTATTAAAAGGCAACAGCCTTCAACCAACTAATCTGCAGCCACAGGAATATCTCTGCACAGGAGCGCTAAGCCAGGCAAAGGCACCTGAAGGACAGGTACTAAGAGAATACACAAGGATAATTAGTTATCTTCCATTAACTTTTATTTCAGCATTGTGGCTACAAGAAAACTCTGATCTGTAGGAGGACAAATTGCAAGGGTCAGGACAGTTGTACAGTGGGAATTTGTGGTTGTGTTTATGGAAACTGTAGTCAAATGACAGAATCAGAACAGTCTGGTCAGATGGAGATGTTCTGGCTGCCTCACCTTTTCATCCCTCCTCCAGCTGTTCCTCCTATCCCTCTCCGTCCTCACAGTAGCAAGCACTGCACCATCACAATGGCCAGGTGGAAAGGATTGTTCCATAGCAGTCAAGACAGCAGAACCATTGTTTCAGCAAGTCCGTGCTCTATAATGCTTAGTGTGACAGCATGGCTCCATTGTCTTTGTGCTGCTTTCATGGTTGAGCTGCAGCTTGGAGTCATGAGTCAGGTGTAAACTGGACAGCCCCTTTTGGTTAGTAGCCATCCTCTGGTAGTGGCTGCACAAGGGAATTGCAGACTAACAGAGAATTAATATATTACGACTGTCAGGACAACAGACATTGATCACCATGATGCGATGAGCATGGTCACATGGCAACTGTATATTCAGCATTCAGTAACTTTATAGTTGTAGACCACCTGTGGTGAAATGCAGCACACACACACAAAATTAAACCCACTGTCCTGCAAAGTGACCTGCTGTTTACTTCTCCCTAAAAATTGAGAAAATTCCACTCTCCTTGCACAAAGGGCCACTGTCACCTCTTTGACACAGTGAATGTCAAAATGGGAAATGTTCCAGATAGATATCGCCTGCTCCAGTCAACAAGGATCTCACTGCAAAAAGAAGAGCAAGTGCTAGAGGTCTTAGCAAACATAAGGATAGATAAATCTCCAGGTCCTGATCAAGTGTATCCCAGGACGTTGTGGGAAGTTAGCGAGGGAATGACAGGGCCGTTAGCAGAAACATCAGTATCATCGATAACATGGGCGGAGGACTGAAGGACTGGAGGGTTGCTAATGTTGTGGCATTGTTCAAGAAAGGCTGTAAGCAGAAGCCTGGAAACTATCGACCTGCAAGTCTGACTTCAGTGGTCGTAAGTTGTTGGAGGGTGATTCTGAAAGATAGGATTTACATGCATTTGGAGAGGCAAGGAATGGTTAGGGATAATCAGCATGGCTTTGTGCAAGGAAAATCATGTCTCACAAACTTGTTTGAGTTTTTTAAAGAAGTAACCAAAAAGATTGAGGCAGGCATAGCAGTAGATGTTGTTTACTTGGACTTCAGTAAAGCCTTTGACAAAGTTCCACGTGGTAGGCTAATTAGTAAAGTTAGATCACGTAGAATTCAGTGTGGCCTTGCCAATTGGATACAAAATTGGCTTTATGATAAGAGACAGAGAGTGGTGGTGGAGGATTGTTTCTCTGACTGGAGACCTATTAAAAGCAGTGTTGCACAGGAATCAGTACTGAGTCCCCTTTTGTTTGTCATTTATATAAATGATTTGGATGAGAATATAGGAGGCATGTTTAGTATGTTTCAGGATGACAGCAAAATTAGTAGTGTAGTAGACAGTGAAGAAGGTTTTCTAAGGTTACAAAGACATCTTCATCAATTGGGTCAATGGGCTGAAGAGTGGCAGATGGAGTTTGATTTGGATAAATGTGAGGTATTGCAGTTTGGTAACACAAACAAGGGCAGGACTTATACAATTAATGGTAGAGCCCTGGGTAGTGTTGCAGAACAGAGAGACCTAGGGGTTGAGGTACATAATTCTTTGAAATTTGCATTACAGGTAGAAAGGGTGGTGAAAAAGGTGTTTAGCATGCTTGCCTTCATTGCTCAAACCTTTGAGTATAGAAGTTGG